GTTAAATTTCATATTTTTCTTCAGCTCAAAGAGCAGAATTTATATTTTATTAAAAGTTGCGCACCTTATTTAACGAGTTTACTATCTTGCCTGATCTTCCTTCAGACATTGAAAAATTAGAGAGTCTTCTCGGAGATCGCATGGACGTTATAACTAAAACAGACGATGGTATAACATTCGCCAGAAAAGTGTTGAATTTTGACGAGAAGAAGAGTATCCAACATGTTACAACGGATGAAGAGCCATTTCCGGACATGAGTTTGGGGATAGATTCTTGTCAACAATTTTGGTAATATGAGCTGATTCAAACCAAGCGAATGAAAGCTAGCGTTATTTGATGAAACGGGAAACTTCTGGAAATGTTTACATGGCAACTATTTCTCCTCTTCCGCCGGGTATAGCTGATACTTCTTGGAAATATGACAGTGAAGACGAGGACGTGTAATAGAGACAGGAGTGACGATACGATTAAGTACAACCAGTACGATTAGAGAGCCTACATAATAAAAAACGCAGTCATTCCATTTACTGGTCTACTTACAATTGCTTTCCTGCAATCAGCGCGGAAATCATAACAATACTGTACAGCACGGATGGTTTCTCTTTAACGGTGATATGGGGATAACGCCACAAAAGTTCAAAACTACGATTGTCCGCGTCATATGCCATTAGGTATTTGCATTGTTATATCTTCACTTCTCGCAGCACATATTTGATGTGTTCTTCAGTTTATTGCCAGATAAAGTAACCTTCCCGATATTGGTTTTAAACATTATAGCAAATGGATGTATATCGCATAGATTTGCAAGGCACCACAATGTTCTCTAAGCGATAAAGTCATAGCTACGTGTTTGGATTATGCGTTCGCTTCAAGTGGCAACAACCGGACCTTTTCGTAACCGTTAAAAGCGCACACTGCACTACAACAAAAATCCCTTTATCAGCGTGGTATATGCAGCTGAGGTATTAATACTAAACCAATTCAATTGACATTAAGAAGTTCTACTATCACAAACCTTGCTCAAACGCACTTGAAATTCACCAGAGTTACATTAAGCATGAGAATTGCCGAAGCCATACTTTTACAGGGCAAGTCATCTACTGAACCCAAGGTAAAATTCAGACTTACTGACAAGTTTTTGGTGCTTGACATCTTTTTAGCGATACTCCTCGTGCAATTTCATTAATACTGCAAAATCCATTATAGGATATTTAATTAAGCACAAACACAATATTATCACCAACTCTCCATCATTCTCCGGATACAAAAACTACTACCCCTTACATGATTACATACCTATAATGTCCTTGCTGTGGAAGGACAACCTTCTGGGAGAGGAGGTAATGTTACCATAGGCCATCACGTGCTGTCTCATTATTCTATGCAGGTGGATAGCTAACAAGTAGCTAAACATCGGCCGTCCCATGTGACAACGTCGTCGATGACTCCTGGACGTTTGCTGTATTTGAAAGTATTAATAACAGTACATCTATCGCTTTCCAATCATCTAATGCTGACTGAACATTGTGCGTGCATGTTTGTTAATCTCTGCAGAGCCCGGTGCAGTGTCGTAAGTGACATTTCCACGCTTCTTTGGAAAGGAGAATCGATCCGGACTCCTTTTACACGATAAGGACGATTCGATGTCTCTAAGAATAGTCGCGACACTAGGTCAGTCAATTCCGAGTCAGCTCTAGATACTGATACCCAGCCGAATGATCCTCAGCGGATCGATGATTTCTGCGATATATTTGGCTGCCCCTCTTTTATGGCATTAGACTCGATGAATAAACTAATTTGTGGACTTCCCCCCTTTCACCGTGCATTAACATGCCAGAGCTTGGCACCAGTTCGGCCTCTTTTAACCGTGAGTGGTTCTAGCACTTCCAATAACAATCATGGTGGAATTACGTTCGGGCGTTCTTTCTTTGTGGTCTCAGACATTTCGCATTCACTATCGATGAGGTTCGGTGATCTTTTCTGTTATGCCTAAATGATTTGCAATATCTCGGTTAATTACCACACTCCCGGAAGCGATAGTAAAATATTTCAAATACTATGTGAAAAGTGTGCATCAAGGCTTTTGAATCATTTCCCAAACGAATGGATACGCGTCTAATTCTATACATATAAACAGGATACACATGCCCAAATTAAAACAACAGAATAAAAACCTATTAAATATGAAATTAACGAAGAGAATTGAGCTGACAACAGAGTGTTAAATCGATTAACCCAAACTTGGAGTTTGAAGCTCGTTGATTTGACATAATTCAGTAACTTGCACATTATAAGTTGGAAACAATTGCCAAAGCTCTTGAACCATTGAAATAAATTGATAGACTGATACTGTTATCAAAAATACGAGTTACATACCTCGACTTCCCAGTAATTTAGCATGTCGAAGTTTTTTTTAACGTGGCCCGAGAACTACGGAACGTCTTGAAGGCTGTAAAGAAGTGAGCGTCCTCACCGATGTGCGGCTTGAGAATTCGTTGTTCTAGTCATTCCTGTAAATACAGTACGTTCGTTTCAACATAACCAGATCTCTTTCCCTTCCTGGTAGCGATTCCGGTTCAGTACAGCGTCCGCAGACCCGTTCCGTTTAAACACATAAAATGTCGACATGATACCTCAACAAAACTGAGCTACTTGGTTTCCAGAATTCATCAACTCTCTCTCCACACAGTGGGTGTGATGGCCGGTCGTCTCCATATAGCCATGCTTGTCCCGAAAACACCAGCTACTGAAATTTAGCAGAGTAGAACGTACGCATATATAAAGCGCACTTCGAGTACGGACTATCAGCTCGGAGTTGACAGCTGTCCTCTGTCCATTGGAATCCTAAGCCGTTTCCTTTGACGACCGGAAGTTAATCATGGATGATTGCTACAGGAAATGAATTATGACTATCATGAAGGGAAAAAAAACAGCGTCTGCCTTACTACAAAGGGGAATATCAGATTACCTCAATTTGTACAGTCCATCAAGACAATTTCATACACAAGTCCGTTGGTGAACGCGTGTCTCGGTAGAAAACTTAGTCTGATACGAGCTTGTTAAGTGAATTTCGATGGCATTGTCGATCCCGTATCCCGCGCAGCCGCGTTTGTCACACCCGCATTATTCCGCAACATACCACTGATTTCGCAAATAGAAATGAATAGACAACTATGAATAGGTCTTGATGTTTAAAATTAATTGCAAGTAAAACAAGCATTTGGTAGTAGACATACAATATTTACAATACCCCTTATCCTTAATACAATCGAATAGAACCTTCCCAATAGATGTCATTTGCTTGGGTTTGTTTTTTGATAAAGTCATCGAATTGCTTATTGGTGTTAAGCATTTATCGGATAAGTGCATATGTCTACGAATACACCACACAGACTATTCATAAATACTGTAACACAACATGTTATAGTTGCTATCGTACTCGGGTAAACTACTTTTATCGGCAGTTGCGATAATAAAGCCGTTTATTATATATTCTGAACTGATTAACGCCGGTGTTGTACTGACAGGCTTTCTCACATACATTTTATCGTTCCCATATTATCTCGATGCCGTAGAGCGTAATAAACCGTGGCAACATAGCTTTATCCTATACAAGTGATCTCTGAATATGGATCTATTCAAATTTACATGATGAGAATTGACTCAAATCAAGTCACATTTTTAATTGCTTTATTCACTCTTATAATTGATATCGTTCTGAAGTAGAAGTAAAAGCTGTTAATGATAGAAAATTCTTTACTACTACATATGGTACGGATTGTTTACTTTTTTATTGTTCAAAGTAACCTTTTTTTTTTTCAACAAAAGAAAAAGAGTAACAAAGAAAAAATATTACTTTTACAGTCGTTTATGTTCATACTAACTTGGAATTAACACGAGATTATAGTTAGAAAAGTTAGGCTCAGGAATAAATTATGTACAAATACTCTGCAATGGGATGGTACATGAATAATATGTCTTCCAAAATAATATTAAATTTAAGTGGTTATTGTATGTTTATCGAAGAAAAAAAATGCTGACTTAAAAGCAATACCGAATTCTTGTTTAGATTGGTGAACACATTTTATAGTGATAATGCCATTGTAGTTTAAACATAAAAAAAGTTACAACTAATAGTCGGGCAATTGTTCGCTATAAACATATAAATATAAATGTGCGTGAGAGAATGTCGGCAATGAAACTCCAAGTATCTAAAGTACAAATTGCTTAATTTTGAACGAAAACCAAGAAGACAAACTGATATCAGTCAACTCTCTTATACGCATATTCTTGAGGACAATTTCAAACGCCACATCAAATCTACACAGTCTGAATCTTATTCAGCTACAACAAAGTCAAATATATCTTACCTTACGGACTCAGAAAACGAGATTGTCTTTGGATTTGTTAGATATTGGAAAACGCAAAAAAGTTTTTATTTTTTCTTATAAAATTTCACACGGTGCATGAACACGTCTACTATTGAACTTTCGAAAACTGGGTCATATTGAACATAACGAAGGGAATACGACTCGTCCCCTAGTGACAGCAATTGAACTTGTTGTCTTATTAACATTGAAACTAGAATACAGTTAAACCCTCTTTAAAAATCAACGAAGTCTATTAACACAAAAACTTTTATATTTTACTGGAAGCGTGATTTCCGGAAGTGGTATCAGTTTTTATAGACACAACGTTTTCCGAATTACTGATAATATATGGGAGTACAAGGCAGTGTTTGTTTGCTGATCTTGATAGTTTGCATACCTAATACTGTAGTACAGCACTACCTTAAGCTTAAACCCCAAATGGTTAAGCTTATCTTCACAAATGAGAGAATTTAGGTTTTTTTTTTCAACATGTCGATCGGTGTTTACTCACATTCTACATCAATAGAAGGACTATCGCTAACGTATTCTGTGAGTAAAAGCATATTTTCACGACGACCATGTCTACTACGCTATTTTAATACTCTCGTCTTTCACTACATAAGAGTCATCTCCACTAACGTTTTTAGTAACTCAAGCATATTCGCATTTGTGTGTTTACTGATTGTATTTGCATTCCCTCACTAAACAGGATAAACTATTAACTAAGGTATTCGGTAACTCAAAGCACGTTTTCACAACGATATGCCAGATCAAGCAATGTTTATTCACAATTGTATTTGCCTACAAATAGAAAGACAATCACTAACGTATTCTGTAACTCAAAGCATTTTGTCAAAATGATAAAGTCACTTCGGCTCATAGCTTGGTCAAATTAGCCAAGATTAGATGTAAATGTTGTAAGACTAGTTTAGTTGTTCAACGGCTCGATCGCGCTTGTCGCAAAGCTTGTTGTCATTTGCAACTTGAACTGCCATCCTCACTATTGTCAATGTAATAATGTTAATTAGATACATCGTTCCGTGTATCATGACGTGTTTATATGCAGTAGCGTTAATATCAAAATGTCGTTATAATGTTGTTACTTGATTGTCTTATGATTCAATTTGACATACAACAATTGGTTTTGATTTGTTAGAAAAATTTTATTGGTTCGTTGCAAGTAGGATTAATTCCCCAGTTGACCACATTAAAAATGATATACTAAATTTTACACTTGACGCCATCTACATGCGCCCTGCTCTTATTATGATTGATGACAACACGTTATAAAGCAACTCTACATGACAAGTGTCTATGCTTAATAATGTTAATGATGAGAGTAACAATATTACTAAACATTACAGATTATTGTTAAAGCAACAGTTTAACTCTTCGATGCTCACAAAATATATACGCTTAACCAATAGACATATTATTAGTAAAAGTTAACAGTAGAAATATCATATGAGGCTTTGAATTTTTTAATAAACTGTCTCCTTCGCTCTTTCACCCATAATTGTTTACGCGCACATATGCAAGTTTTGTGCTTAAAGTAAAGTTTTTACACGACTATGGTTCCTCCTATTTGCAAATAAAAAAATTTTGTTGAATGTATTATTACATACATGGATAAGTATTCGACGGTGTAATACCGGCAGCTTTATTTCAGTTTATTATACTTTGTCGTCGTCATTGGGCGTCACAAAAATTCGGAAAAGAAAAGCTTATTTTGTTGTATTAATTAGTTTAGTTATACGCAGATTGTACCCGTATCTAATCATCACTTATATACGCAATTTTTATCTATAGAACATCTGTTAAAAGAAAGGCTTGCTTTACTGCATCGGTTAGTGTAGCTAAACGCAGACTGTATCTGTATTTAATCATCACTTATCTGCAACGTGGTTTCTATATTGCGGTAAAACATTTGTTAGAATTGACAGTCTTTTCGCTGATGATAATGCAATGCTTTTACTATAATCCAGATATCATAATACGATGACATAACAAAAGTTAAACCACTTAACGTTCCTCATTGTTGTTATGATTCACGAATGGAGTGATATCTTGTGCATCAAAAGCATCAACGCATCTAATAAAAAGTGACGCTTAACCCATAAACATTTTGCTTCGTCCGCACTTACATGTGAGCAAAAGCTGCTAATACGGTAAGCAAAATTTCCAAACGAAGTGACGTTAAATGTAACATTTTTAAAGTCTTAATTCCGGTCATGAAATTAGACTGGAGTGACTAGAATTACTCTAGATTTATTCGTATGCTTGTAACGAGCCAATCGAATTTTTCTAACAAATGATGACCAATCACAATGTAAGGATCCAAGTTCCTCCTCGATACTAATACATATTAATAACCTAATAATAATAACATACTCTATTTAAAACATGCGCCAAGTTTCATTGCGGTTCAAAATAAATATATGAACTAAATTAAATAAATTATGCAGGCTCTACTCCCAATCAATATCGTTCTCATTGCATAACTTTTTCGCATGAGAATGACCGGCCTTGGCAGCCATTATCAGATATCGTTTTCCTGCATCCCGATCAATACCAATTTCGTTAATTCTTCCTGACCAGTAAACTTCTCCAACGTTGAATTGCGCCGCCGAATTCCCATTTTCGGCAGCTTTGCAGAGATAATCAAATCCTAGTTCGACATCTCTTTGTAGACCATCTCCTTTCATAAGAGCTGCTCCGTAACGTAACTGACCGTCAGAATTGCCACCATCAGCGGCTTTTCGAAAGTGTTCGGCCGCTGCTTTCAAATTGCATAGGCCGCAATAATAGTGTACTTTAGGGATGTCAATTTCTTGAAAGATTTTATATGCTACGTCATAGCTTGCACTGGAATGAGCTTTGAGAGCGTCTTCAATGCTTAGTCCGGTATTATCCTCGAGATTGAGCAACCCGTCTTGATTAACTAGGCCGGAAATTTTATCAATATCAGCGGCTTTATTTTTGAATTCTCTATACGCCGCTTCTAACTGCACGTAAATTTCAGTTATAGTCGGACGTGAACTTGGATTCTGATCCCAGGCCTTATTAATAACTTCTGCATATTTTTCTGGCGTGTCTTTAGGAATTGGGTCGCGCAGTCCTTTCATTAATTTTTCCATTACGCTCCGTATGTTGTTGTCATCTGCGAAAGGAATCTTGCCAGATGCTATCTCCCAAAGAAGATAGCCAACATTATAGACATCGGCGGGCTGGTTGAAGCTAAACCCTTGGACCGAGAGTTTTTCTGGTGGGGCCCAACTAATAAAGTTATAATATGACTACATTAATTGATTTACAAACAATCAAGCAACAAGAGAAATAAAGAAAAGAATAAAATGACATAAAATTGGTATAATTACTGTAATTATGTAACTATTTTACAAATCCGGGCAAATATCGATAATTACTCACCGTGGTTTTTCCCTGTCTTCGTTTCGTATACGCCGCGAAACTTCTGTTACTGACCTAGCATAATGAAAATTGGTAATCTTTGGGATGAAGTGCTCTGCGAGAAGAATATTCTGTGCTCGAAGATCATGATGTAAAAGTCCAACTTTGTGCATAAAACAGACACCCTGTACAATGCCCAGCGCAATGGAATATCGCAGGGACCAGTCCATTTTTGAGTGATTTTTCTGCATATAATCATGGAGGGATCCTACAAACACAGAATGTGAATAATAATAAATTAGATAACCATAATCATCTGTGTAATAGATCTATGCAATTATGTAGATTAGTATTACATTTACCATATTGAGCGTTTTCCATGAGCAAATATAGGGTTTGGTTAATCTTGAATACACCATAAAGCGTTATGATATTCTTGCATGCTTGCAATTGCGTTAAAATGGCCACATCTTTCTCTACTTCTTTTCGCTTTATATCATTGACGAACCCATCTATGCGCTTCTGAAAAGCTGGCTGGCACTTCCAAATTACCTTCCTTGATCCCGATACTTTAGCAGAGTTGTCAAAACTAGTCGGATCTTGTTCGATATCCACTGGATCCAACCACACAGATTCCAATACGCTCTGTTCGACTTTGCCCGTTTTGATCACCTTCTGCAGCCCCATTATCTGTTCTAATGTATTATCTAACTTACTATCAAGAGTGATAATACCCAAGGTTATGCATTCTTGCATTTGTTTGATATCATCCGCAATTATTGAAACATCTTTAGATATATCGGCAGCTGTATTCAAGCCAAAGTCTGCAACGGCTTGGTCAAATCGAGTAAGAAGTTCTTGAGCACCATTTGTCTATTGATTAATTGATTCGAAATTGACAGTTTAGTTTATTGACACATACAGGAGTTTTTCAATAATAAGACAGCTGTTTGCTTACGTTAATTGCTGCCCAGTATTTCCGCAAACCATTCTTATCAGTAAGTTTTTTAACAAATTTCTCAATATCTTTGAGAACCTAACCATAACCAGAATTAACGCTTTAGAATGACCCGTTAAACCGTATATCGACTATAGAATTTGCTCTTACCTTTTTATAGTTCTCTAATGCAGGATTTAGCTTGTGTTTCAACTTCTCTTCTTCAAATTTTTCCAAAGTATTTTGTGCGATAATTATCCTGTCTTTGAAGAGCTTACATATTTGTTTATTAATCTCTGCATTATCAACAACTGTTAAAATCGTCTCGAGTATTAGGAGAATTTGCCCTAATATCGGAACGGACGCAATATCTTGCACAACTTTGACGTATTTTAGTGCAGTATTACACACAGAAAGGACGTTTTCGGTCATGTTTCTTGATATCAGCTGGCAAGACTAAAATTCTAGCTCAGTTCTACCTCCCGAGAATTTAAAGAACTGCCTGCGTGATACAGATTCGGTGACGGGTTCCACAATATTAGGAAGGACAGTGTTTTTAGACTGGGCCGGTGACAAGTGAAACTTTAGCGTTTTAGCAGTGGCTAAAAATTCAAATCCATCAGACCTTGCTTCCAGTTTCTAGCATGTCGGGCAAGATTAATTGGCACAAACCTTATGTGCAAACGATGAACTCAGCGAGCACTCACTATTTACGATTTCTATACAAAAAAAAACCTCCTCAGCGGTAAAAACAATGTCAACATAATTCTGTCTCTTATTGGTTCCACTCTAACTAAATCGGAAACCATCATTATGCCAAAATATGGTGGAAAATTGTGCAGATGACGGAAGACGTCGCCAATTGTTCATTATGAAGTCGTTACACTGAATAGGCAATGAAAGAAATCCTTTGTGTCGGATATGCCATTGTCCACCTGCATCGGGTTGGGCTGTGTCAGTTGTCCTCCGATTGGCTGATCATGCAATGTGTGCGAACCTTTGTTTTCATAGTTATACTAAGCATGGTGCCCAGTGAAATCATACAGTCTATTTGGATTCAAATTACACACCATATGTTATCAATGCGCACTTATAAACAAAGCATGAAATGTGAATACAACCCCTTCATCCCTTTGTGCTACGGGGAACGCATTACGGCATTGTTATCCTCCGTTGATACAAATCATAGAACATTCATAATGTTAATCTTTTTACGTCTGTTGTACAAATATCTATCATTCATCAAACATTTGGACATGTTTAGCTGTGTACGTAATTGGTATATCTGGATGGTAACGAGCCAAATATTAAACGTACAGGTGCAATCAATAAAGAACGCAAACCACCAAATATTAAACGTGCAGTTCTTACTCCGATTCACGAAATAATGATGGTACGCTTGGAGACTTTGCATATGACAAATGATTGTGAATTTGCGCTTAATATTAATGCGTTAATATAATACAATACAAGAACAGTTTTCTTCACACCAAAACACTTAACATGCAAGCATGGAATCCTGGACACATTTTCAAAGAGCTCTGTCAACTATTTGGTATGATATAATGTTCTTTCATGTTTCAAGTTATTTGGCTTATTTCATTCCCATAGGAAAACTTGAGGATAAAATCAAATTATACAAATCAGCTTCTGAATATATTGCACTTTGTTTCGCTTTTTACCCTTTTTGAAAACGGTTACCCTGGTAATTTTGAATACTACGTTGAAAGCGTCTGTGGTTGGCTGATGAGCGTTATTCAACTTTGCGAAAGTTTTATGCAATTCTTCTTGAAGTCAAAATAGAAGCTTGCATTGCAGCTGCGCAATACTCCGTAATAGTAATCATGTGTAACTGCACATTTTTGTTGGATAAAAATCGGCTGGTCCTATATGCTTTGGTTTTCCGCTTCAAACAGACAATGAAATTATACACTCACTGGACAAAAGTCTACGTAATTTTTGCCGATCAATTAGTAAAACATATGAAAAAGCTATTTTTTC